GGCCTCACCACACGGATGGACTGGACATGACAATAAGATCATCACAAAAAGTCCAAGACAATATGAAACGATGGGGTAGTTGGATTATCGTGCTATTCACAAAGCAACGCGGCATGTGAAATGGGATATCTTAAATTGTTTATGAATCACGTGTTGAACTTTTTGCAACTAACAACGGCCATGATGAGTGCATCAACCGGTTTGAACATACACTGGTAACAACAAAATCGAACGAACGAATAGATGTCTACAGACGCTAATGATACACACTTTTCACTAGCATAGATTGCACAGCGAACAGTCAGTTTTACTATGGGAAGGAAGACAATGTTCTGAGTATACCCAGTAAGAGATATTTCACTCATTTTACACGTTATTTCCTTCTCACTGTATTCGAACTGGTTCACCTTTGTTTTCCTTGAATGCGTCAACACGGATGTGATTATTATAGCTAAAACAGTTGTATATTATGGTGGACAGCATATAATCAATTCTGTGGTTAGCCTAACGTTGCAACGGAATGGAGGAATATGTGGAATTAATATGGGATAATTGGGTCAGGAAATATTCCCCTGAAGAAAGTTAGGTATTTTCGGATAACCAGACTTGGAACTGAAAAGGGCTGAATGCCACATGCAGTGTACTGGTATTAAGCTAAGGGCGTCATAAAACATTTAAGTTTCTTCGATACGTAAGGGATACGCAGGACGGTAGATCGAAATTCCGTTATAAATGCACAGTTTATAATTATAAACATTGGGAACAACTAACTGGATGAACCTAATTTTCATCGATCCGGTTTATTTTGCCACCAAACTGTCAGTCTATTTTTATGCCACTAATTACCAACTACTTCTGTTTACCCTGCTATGTCGCAGTTCCTGAAATTTATCCACTTATTCCAATTCCCGAGGGGTGCCACATAGCAGGAGATTGACTGTATACTGTATGTAAGGCAATTTTATTCCTCTAAGCTACACGACAGAATTTCTACGATAGCTTCTTTTACCGAAAAACGATTACTACTTTTACCTTTGTCAATAGTAAAAATCTCGAGGTCGATGGAATCGGTTCACTTGTTTGTATAGGTTACTGGTGGCAGCAGCGGATGGAACCGAAAATTGTCGGAGAGATAAACGATGATCAGACGATCGATGCCCATGTAAGAGCATATGAAGAAAACTCCGGACTTGCTACACCATATCAAATTTACCTCGGTGTTTACATCACCTCCAAGATTTTTCTTTCAAAGTTGCCTGTTTTAACTGAAAAAGGCGAAATTATCCGGGTGAAAGACCAAATCATCTCCAGTATCTTTGAGTCATGAGTCCAAGAGGCATAAGATGAATTGAGTGTGCATTTTGTCAGTTAGATCAAACATGAAAATCCATGTATCTTACCTGACAAAAAACGAGAATGGTTACTAGTGAGTGTACATAAAGTGATGTGGTTGAGGGTTGCGTCCAAAACTGGTCTATATGGGTAACGCCCAAATGACTTTGACACCCACTTACTTTTATTATTGATTATAGTGGCATTATTATCGAGACGCACGTTTTTGGAGAGTAATCTAACCAATACTAATATACGAAACAACTTACAGAAACCGCCATCGGTTTGTTGTGTACATTCCTTATTCTGAATTTTTTAATATAAAAATGTCACGTGAGGAATTTTTCATTTTTGGTTTATTTTTAGTTTGTATATCATATCCAAGTGCATCATATATGAAATGCTCTGTAAAATCACGCTCAGTATAGTTTTCTTAGAAATTGCAGTTCTATAATCATAAACTAATCGTGACGCGGTTTACACTAACGGTTGCCAAATCGTTTTCTTACTGTCCACGTATGACTGTTGATAAACAGAAAAGAATCCCTACCATCTGTTTATGTATTTTAGCGCTGCTGCCTGGTGCTGCATTTTTGATAGAAAATACGAAAGTGGATGTTAACATAGTTCGCTTACTGTATGGAATCGAGATTTGTCACGATTACTGCCATTAATTAGTCATCCTCTTTTGCCACCACGCTGCTTGCATAGTTATTGTTTCTTCACTCTTGAGTTTTGTATCCACGCCTTAACATGCATTGATTTTACTCCTCTCTCGACTGACTTTTTGAGAAATATGTTGTATCCAGTTGAACGTGTTTCCAGTATTTTTATTCTCATCGCTTGTGGTCATTCGGTTTGCATACTTTTCTTTTGCGAAGCGATTTTACAGTTCTTCCCACTTCTTAAACGGTTTGGAAACCTAAAACAGCCCCGTTTGGAATATTGTCACCATAACTTGGGCGGAACCGCCTCGTCTTCCTTAGACCCTTAACCATTTGCAGCGTACTACCATTAGTCTGGTAGCTGATAAGTTCTGAAAATCCTGTCCGCAACCGCTTACTCACTTCCGCGAGATTATTTCCCCACGGCTTTTCTACTATTCATATCACAGATTTTTCTCTTTTAAGCCCGCTCATCATCACCCTCTTTTGCACGCAAAGCTGTTTCACAAGTATTTTGCCACTCCTATCATGTGAATCTAACAGACGATCTAACCGAGGAGTTGAACTAGTTTTCTTTTAAGAACCTCAAGATAATTAAGCAACGGCCAAACTGTGATCGAACGGTCCCTTGCTAGACACAAAATGATTGCTGATAAGTTTCGTGATAACTGCTGCAAATCACCTACAATTTGGCTTGTCATAATGATTTTCAGCGCAAACATAACTGGGAATTGAGGGATGCTTATGATCGGTAATATGGTTTACTTTTACTTTTACTTCTGATATCACCGATGAATTAGGTGTTGCAATGTTCTCTATTAGATTTGCTTCGTAGGCAAATTATCGATCATCTGTGTCGTTTCCTGTCCCACAAGAGTAGAGTTTGGTGGTTTCTTATAAACCAAAATATTCGAAAAGTAGTCAATTATTCTATAAGTCACAAGGACATGTTGAAAGACTCTTGTTTATCTTAATTTTGGGACATCAAGATTTTGGATGAAGGCACCTAAGAGTGTTCGGTTACTAATTTCCTTTCATCTAGTATAAAGTGTTCTTGCTACAAGTCAGCTGTAGTCCGATGACATAATTTGAATGGATTACCTGTCCGTTGGTGTTATCAAAAATCAAAATATTGAGCTTTGCCGTGCAATCAAACTCCGTCGATCGTAAACAAAATTGGTGTTCATCAGTATTTGCAGAATCTTTACTGATACTGGTAAGGAAAATGCATATCCCTAGCATCGACTATTTCATGGATATCAACTCATTCCTTTGCATAATTGTAACACATGCTTCTTCATTGAATTCGTCAAATTGTTTAATTATTTATGGTGATTTGAAATTTAAAATGGCAATGCGATAGACATACGCAAATCTCACTAGGTCGTTTTTTACTCTCGGGCAATACTCCCCTTGCTAGAGCTGCGCAAAAGGCTATCAGCCATTGATTTACGGGTACTATTCTCTTGGTGCCTAACACGTGACTTATGATATGCGTTGGAGAAAACCCATAACTGAAACCCTGTTGAATGTATCTCTGATTGGGAATAAGGAGACTGGTTTCTCGTAATACTCGCGCCTCTTGACCAACTCAAACTGGGTTTATGATGGTACACGTTATCTTCATGAGTTGTTAAACCAATCTAAGCCTTCCTTTCACCTTCGTTGCCGATGTACTTCCCTTGTCAAAACTTTTGGTCTTTGGTACAAATTGTTGGGTTGCTCTTTTTTGTTCTGCTTTCAGAATGATTATTACTACAATCTATGCATGCGATTGATTCCTAAAGCTGTTAGATATAGTTTTATCACTATCAACTTGTGACGCCCTCTTTATGATCCTATGCAATAAGTTTAATTGATTTGATCCACATCAGTTCAGTGACGTATAAATATTTCATTCTTTTGTTGCGTCTTTGTGCACGGCTTATGTTTGGTGTGAGTAATTCAAGACAGTGTAAGTGCTTGGATTTCAATGTAGTTAAACGTAAATTCCTATTTGTCATTGTAATTGTGATCATTTTTCGTTCTGAAGGGAAGTTGTACCGTACGATCGATTTTCAGATAGACATTGCTGTCGATCAAACTGTTTTCCTAAAACACAAAAGGGTAGAGAAGTCGAGCAGCTAAAGTGGAATGCAAAAACTCTACCACTGTCACCATTTTCAAATTCTTCAAGCTCTTGTGCAGAATGTTCTTTACTGCAACGTTTCTTTAATGCAACTAGAGGTAAATTGGGTTTGATGGATGACTGTGTCGGTTAGAGGTTGTGAATTGATAGCCATGATGAGGAACCCTTGGAGATTAGGTGCTTTATGCTTGGTACATTAGACCCAATCAAGATCTAGCTCTCTACAGAAGACATCAAAACCGATCCTTCGGTTTATTACCCTTACCTCCGTATTCCTGGGTCTCTCAAGCTGCACAACCGCATGGTAGATGGTAAAATTGTGTTGAATGGACGCCTTGTTATTTGCTGGATTGCAATGTTCCTTTTAAGTAATCAGCACTAAAAAAGAGAAGTTTAAAACGTCGTTTGAAATTGCATGCTGTTCACAGATCTTGCCTGTCTCCGCTAACGCCAGGTCGTTCTTCTCCAACAATTTCCATCCAGGCTTCAAGTTTTTAGTGCCGGTTACCAGACGGTCACGCCATTCCTCCTCCAGACAATCATCATAATTAAATATCGAAGCCTTCCTATTCAAATGGAGAATGAAATCACGACAAGAAATGTTTTTGGCACGTACCTGAAAATTGAATTTCACCCTCTGGATCGGTTGTTGGCTCTTTGTTCCGACCACTGCCTATTCCTTGCCAGTACGAACTTCAG